TGAAACCATTTCTGATTGCAATTAAGTTTTTTACGTACGCCGAACGTGAGATTCTTCTGATACTGTTCATACGTGTAGTTTCGCTATCATATCCACCCAATCCTGATGGATAAAATAAGGGATAAATCCAAGGCTCAACATATATATGCATGGAACTAATAAATTCTAATTCTTTATCTTTACGGGTCACTATTGTGACATAAGATACAGGAATTGCCCCATCCGCTGTAGTTGAAAATATTGCAGCCACTTCATTAGTTCTTTGGAGATTGTACCTATGTTTATCTATATCTTTCTTTTTGTTATTATTTTTTTTATTTTTTACATTGTTCCTTTTCCTATTACCATTGTTACCATGGTTTGATAGGCGCCCCTTCGTCTTAGCCTTTAGCCTCTCCTACTATCCTCTCATTAGCCTCTCCTACTATCCTCTCATTATTTTTGCGGTAGCATGGGCCGACTTTCTGTACTGCGCCCATTTGGCGTGTACTGAGGGAAACCATGTAAAACCTCAGTAGCGCAGCCGGCCGGTACTGCGGGGATTCTGCTGTGTTCATCAGTCACACTGACTCGGTGAACACACCAGCTCTCCGCACCCGTGCCTGACGGCGGCAGTCTACACGCCGATGGGTGTGACTAAGCGGGCACCCATCCAAGTACTAACCCAACTGAGCGTTGCTTAGCTTGGGTGATCGCCGGAGTCACACACCGCCCGCGTGGCTACTGTCGCCGCTTTTCTTTTTGTTATTAAATATCATTTTAATTTCAGGCATAGGCTGTGCAGATTGTAGGGATTTCTCTTTTTCAATTTCAATCACTTCTCTCATCATATAATAGCTGTCTACAAATTTATTTTCTCTCCGTAAAACACTGTCAATTATATTCAGAATAGAAATATCCAAGTGATCGAATGCAGATATTCGACAGCGATTTGCTTCATTCGTATCAATCATGAATAACTGCCTGTAGCTAGGCACTCCATCGTCTCTCTCTGGATATACTGATGTATTCATTTGGTAATAAATTTGTCCTTGAACCATAAAACAATAAGGGCCTGGTCTTTTTCCTTCAAAATTGGTTAAATTGGCATTGAACGAAGCGAAAGATAACGCATTATTATAGCTTCGAATATTTTTGAAGAAATTAACGGAATTAATATTTTCTATATCGAATAACTCTCGTAATTTTAGTGGATAATTTTCGAAGCTGATTGCGACGACGTCACCATGACTGCAACAATCATTAAATGAATCATTTGCTTTAGTGGATACACGTTCCCCTGCAAAATGTTTCGCCTTACAGTTTCCACAGACTACATCCATTGATCCAAGATAATTTTCAATAACTCTGCCATTAACTTTAGTATTATTGATGTCATTGAAACAATAATTTTTCCGCATACGATAAATTCTGTTTCTTTTTACCAAGCTTCCATTATCTTTATTCCTCTCACGATAAGCTCTCTCTCGTTGGACATGATTTACATTTCGCCTTTTCTTAACATTCTCTTCAGCTATTTTTTCATCACGTTTTCGTTTGCGGTATCTTCTCTGTTTTTCGGCTTTTTTTTTACATTTCAACCGATGTTTTTCAATTTCTAATATGCGTTTTCTCTCTCTACAACGTTGTTGAACGCTGAGCATTTTCCACTTTTGAAGGTTTTCTTTTCATTTTAACTTTAGTTAGACCATCAATATCTTCATCTGAATTATCCTCACTCGCTAGCGATGGCTGCATTTCAGCATGCAATACCTGATTTTGTTTCCGCATTCGACATTGTCTCTGCCTTTCAGCAGGCTTTTTTCCTTTCAAATTCTGTGTTTTCGTTTTCAAAATTGGTTTCTTTGCTCTACAATGCCGCTGCCGTTGAGCATCATTCTTTTTTCTCTTTTTTTCATCATTTTTTCCTATTGGATTTTCAATATCGTCTATGCTTAAGTTTGCCGTCATCGTCTGAGTTAAGGTGTCCTCATTCTCATCTGGCATCATTTTTTTAAATCTCACATATGATTATTCTTGTTCAATTCTCATAATCTACTCTCAATGAATCTTTTTACTCACAACAATTTCTGAAATGAAATAATGGTTTGGGAATGGCCGAATTATCCAACATGAATCTCCCTCATCTAGTCACAATTCACATTTTATGTGACCATACAAAATTAAAAGTACTACAGGATGAAATTCTACTTACCACAATCATTTTCAAATGCATTGCACATGATATAACAAATGGTCTCCAAGCATATATGACTGATCAACGTTTCGTCAATATTGGCACTATTATGAATCTATGCTGTTGATCAATCAATTATGCATTTAATTCAAGACAGAATCCAAGGAATAAGTAATCATCTTCAACTTTACAATTAACCTTGAAAGTTTTTTGAAAGCACCAACTTCAGTTTCGTTTCACGACCAACTTCACTTCACTCTGTTGACAACTCCACCAATAGAATAATAAAATCGAAGTGACCGAAAAAACTGGACCTCATGAAATGTCAGTAGTTTCAATATTTCAATTCATTATATCATTTACAATTCAACAAAAAGTCAATTTTTTAAATGTTCAATTTAAGATACCTATGAAAATCGAATTGTTATTTATACCTCCCATTATCATGAGAAACGATCACAATTGTACGTTTTATCTTCTAAAGAACACTCGAAAGAATGGAAAGATTCTATGAAATTTAATTTCTTGAATAATAAACATGAAAAAATCAATTTTTTTCCAGTAATACCGCCATGATTTTGCGGAAAACACGTCAAATTCACCGAGTCCTCACGCAATAGAAGAGGTTTTTTAATGCCCTACACAACTGATATAATATTTCAGCTAGTAATTGAGTCAAAGAACTGTAAATTCAGGACACGACATTGAAAAAATGAAAACTTTCAAATTTGTGACATGCCAAATTCGACACATAATAGGCCATAACTATTGACTAAGTGTATACAATGAGAAGAACGAAGCGCCATTTTGCAGATCTCAACGAGATCTTCAAAATGGTATATAGAAGAGTCATATTAGCCGAATCTAAAGGTTCAATAATCACTAAAAAATCCTAATTTTAGAGGGTAACGTTTCATTCAGAAGCAGAAAAATGTTCAAAAAGTTTATGAAAATTTAACCGAATCATATCTAACACATGATAATGTAAAGAATGAATTATCCGCTTTGAAATTTTATATGAATATTTTTATTATGTGAGTTAAAAAGACAGAAAAAACCAGCCAAAGTTGAATTTTCAAGTACACCACGAAAATACGTTTTCTGACTAAAGATGTCATAACTTAATGAAAAACGATTAAAATCGAATGATTCAGGTATCAAGTTGAAGCTTGTTTGATAGGCTTTCGAATGAGTATAGAATATATAGGGTTCATCAAATAGCAACAATGATTATTAGCATGAAAACCAGAAAAAGACCAGCGTCACGGTCACGGATCGTTCTATAAGGGATTAAATAGAAATTTTAACCGTAGTAAACAGCGGTGTCCGCAACAGCGGTTTTACGACAAATGAAAGAAGAGACACGGAAATCAATTGTTTTGTATATGGAGAAGAGTAGAGTAAGAAGGAAATTTTTTAATCTATACTTCTTATTCAATTATCTGAGTTCTGAACATAAATATCGGGATTCATAATTACTAACAAATCGCTATCTCTAGATACATTACATAGAATTGTAGAATTGCAAACAGAGATAAAATCATGGAAAAAGGCCGAAATGTTGCACAATAATAATGAGCTGTAGGGCGTCGTTCAACTAATATTAGAAATGTAAAATCGATGGTACTACTCACGTTTTTCATGTACATACATTGCAATTACTTACCTGTTACATAAAATGATGCGAACGGTCCGAATATAGGATAAGCAAGGAGAAAAAAGTTAAATAAAAGTGATAAATTAAAATTAATTGATTAAAATGATTCAAACATCAATTTCACGCAGCCTAACTGACGCGCGCGAAGCGCGCGTCCTGTCTGTAGTCTTTTAAAATCTCCAAAAGAGAATTGTTCTCTTCTTTATTTAGACGATCAATTCTCAAATTCTGATACAGTAGTTTAATGCGATCCTGTTTTCCAGACTTCTCCAGCTTCATAATTATTTTTTCTGTCAATAATTGTTCCAATTTCACTGTTGGCCTATAAAAACATATCTTCCATTAGTGTTAATAATGCAAACAAGTGCTTCACCATTTACTGCCTTTGTCAAACATTCTCCCATAAAAACACCGGCAGTCAGCTGCTTTTTCCGAACTATACCTGTTTTCTCACTGTGTGTATTGACTTGAAGCAATACCTCACTTGTAGCCTTTATTTTTACAGGCTCCTTGTCATGGTAGAAGTCAAAAGGATTCCCGTTGATGACCAAAGCCTTTCCAAGGATTGTTTCTACTTTCAAACTGGGTGAAGATAACAAATCATCGCCTGGAGTTCCCCCAATGCACGGGAAAGTTTCAGGCACAACCTGAAATGTGTGTCCCAGGTGTTTTCGGCCAATTCTCAAGTAGATAATTACTTCTCCGAAGGTTGGTACAACCTGATTGGATATTCCTCTTAGAAATCGATAGCCAGGTGTTATTTTAATTCCTGAATTAATTTTATCCTTCCTTATGAGTGATGTTTTTGCCCCCGACTCGGCTAGAAATAATGTACGCTGTTTCAACTCGTCTCCTGTTGGCAAAATTTGTGATTTAATTTCTGCAGATGGTGCTGGCTTTATCATATGTCCTTTATTGAATTTTGAGGGTTTTCCCTTTCCTTTCGAAGGTTTTATTATCCCGACTTGATACGCTCCGACTGGTAAAACTTTCTCTTCATCCCTTTTTTCAGTTTTCTTTTTCAAATTATGATTTTAATTAATTTGCTTAATATTTGAACCATCCGTTTTAATCAATGCTGCTGGAATTTTTTGTGACTCGGCAATTCCCAATCGTTTTTTCAGTTTTCGACAATCAGTGGTCTCATGCCCTGAATATCTGCAATATTTACACTCCGGAAGCGTTGACGTTGCGTCGTTCTGAGGCAACTGGTAATGACCTACGTGGTGCCTGTGAACTGCGACAATCTTTTGCAAAGTGGCCCCCTTGTCCACAATTGAAGCAGGTTCCGATTGACTGTTTACTCATAGAATTTCTATTTCCTCCAGTTGAGTGTCTTTGTGTATTTGAAATTCCTCCTATTTTTCCCTTATGAGTGCCTTTATGAGAAATGGTTTTCTCTAATTCTATAGTCTCTGCACATGCACCATGAAGAGTTTTGAAGTTATTAGCACGCATTAGAATCTGCAATTGTCCTCGTAACCCTTGTTCAAACATTAGTTTAGCAAGAGTCATCATGAGATTTTTAGAGGCTAATTTTTCCTCTTCAGTGAATTCACTGTGCAGACTGAGTAGCCCATTCAAGAAGTCAACAGTGACTTCCTCTGTGCGTGCTACGTATTTAGCGACATCTTCATTTTCTCTTTGCTGTAATTTGCTGAATTCGGCCTGACGTCCCACGGGACTCTTGGTTTTTCCGAAGAGTGATTCTAATTCAGCCTTCAATTGTTCAAATGATGAAATAGTTCTATATTTCATCTGTTCCATGGCATAACCTTCTAACTTACTCCCTAGAATTTCCTCTAGGAGAAGGATTCGAAGCTCTGGATATACTAATTTCCTAGCGCTCTCGACTGATTGCAAAAAACAATCTAATTTATCTGGATTTTCTCCACCGAAATTACGTACCATTTGAAGTGCACCCTTTAAGTCAAGATGTGCTTTCACAGATTCGCGATTTTTCCGGTTATTTTGCTGTGTTCAGGCATTTTCCAGGAGTTATTTGTAATCATTTCGTTCCCGCTCAACCTCTTGTCGGTGCAATCGCTCAGTTTCTAGGTGGTGTGCCATTTCTTCAATTTTCTTCTGTAATTCGGCCACATTGTTGCGAAGATTATCGAAGCGTCGAGGTGGTCGTTCCGCCGATTGTTGCACATCAGGTTGTATTTCACGATTTTCTCTACCACGATCAGGAATGAAACCCCCTGCCCTTATTGAGGCTGCACGAAAAAAAAACATTAGGTGTAGAAAACGACTGAAGCGGTGTATCGTCCTTTTCTACTTCTTCCTCTTCCTCTCCTGAAGTTCCTCGATCACGTCGAAGGGATTTCCAGGCACCGTTTGTGAAGGATCCGCTAGTCGTGGTTGTCCAGTTCCTTCCTTATTACCGGAAAGAGGTTTTAATTCTCTCCTTCGCGTACTATTTGCTAACTCAGCTCCAGGTAGTTCATCTGGCTAGACGTCGTCATTTTCCTGATGAACGTCGGCCTCAACCTGCTGCTGGTTATCCGCGGTGAGCATACTGTGATGGAGTGATTGTCTATAACTCCGTTGCAGATTAACATTTCTATTAATGTTTTCATCTGAATTGAATAAAGTTCTTCTCACTTCGCGCGTTGCGAATGAATACGAACCAATTTCAGATTGCTCTGGTCGACTACCATGTCTACTAGTCGACATATTTGATTATTTACTGTTGGCTAAATAAAATAATCTTACTTGAATTGTAACTACTCCTTGACTGTAATCTTCTGTATCATCCTCTGCATATCTAAGTCCTCTGTACTAGCCCTTTTAATACACTAAAGTAGTAGGGTAGGTTTCCTCAGTTTGCTGTACTAGCCCTTTTAATACACTGAAGTACTAGGGTAGGTTTGGGAAAAAATTCTGAAAAATAATTTTCGGTTGGTTTACCCTAAAGTAATCTTGTCGCTCCCTCGAGAATAAAAAGTGGTTGCGATGACGGTCAGTGTAGATTCCGGTAGTTCAATGCTCCGGATATTATCTCGTTCTTATCTTGCAGTAATAGGCAGTGGTTGATCAAGCCTCCGTCTTCCCAAAATTGCTCTGCCACCAAAATGTTATAGAACCGAGCGGTTGGGTTCGATGATAGGGATATATCACTAGTAGATAATTAGAAATGAATATCTCTCAGGGAGATTCAACTCTTTTAGCCATTAAACGATTTATTAAATAAATAACGTCTTTGACTAATACCGTAGGTATCAGGCAAGATGAGTTACAAGAAGGTGACTTAACGAATCGTCCGATTAGTAATTGTTTGTGTCTGACAACCTGACTAACTGACCCAATGCCAACGAATTCACGAGCTTATATTTCATCGAATCATGGATTCGATTGCAACAAGTGTTCTCTCTTTGTTTTACCCCTGGAGAGACATCAGATGACGTCCCAGGTGCACGTAAAGGCCATAGCCGTTGATGGGGCGAAGTGCTGACACTGCACCCCAGTGATCCATATTATGACGAATATATGTGGACTTATTCCACAAATATTCGGGTTAGTTTATATTTCAATATCAACATTGTCTGATTCAACATTACATGTTTTGGATAATATGTGCCACTTCGCGTCCTCATATTATCTAGATCAATGAGAAATTACCTAATACTATTTCTTAATTAATTGTATTTCTGGGGCATAACAAATGCACACATGGAAAAAAAATTTTCTCCTTATGAAGATAACTATTGGTCATTGAAATAAACATGAAGGTACTCTTCAAATTCAGCTTCCCGAATTAATGACATCTTTCAGCTCGCTTTTTAAATTTTTGGTGCAAAATCGACCTTACCGAAAAACATGTCAAGGAAAAAATACCAAACATTGCAGTTTTGACCGGCTGATGTTGATTCTGAATATAAAAAACGAATATTTTTTAAAAATAATATTTTTTTTTTTATTATCTTCATTTAACATTTATACTTCAATCAATTTCATTTTTTGAATAAATAATTGCGGCACCACTGGAAAATGGTATTGTGGAATTTGTTTCTTGCCTCTGATATCAAACAGCCGTTTTTTACATTTCATTTGTAACGTCTGCTTTCAAAATTAATAAAAATGTCATGGTGAATAAAATTCCACATTTTCCATTTTTGACTCACTTCCCCGCTTTTCCTTTCCTTCAGCGATATTTCTTTTCTTTGCCTGTTCTTAAGTCTTACCCCCACTTTGGTTGATTTCAGCCGAGGAGGCACTTACGACATGAGTCATAAAGGCCCATCACCCGAGACAATAAGCTTTCGTCTACCCTTTGTTATGTACTAATAGAGATCGGGAGCATGACTTGCTCTCCAGAGCAGAAGTTGCCCATCCCTGGTCTTGACCGTTGCCCCCCTAACTCGACAACCCGTCAACGTCCGAAAATTATCGAGGATAATTCGTCGATATCTGCACGATTGTTGAAGCTCAACTTTAAAAAGATGACTTTTGTTGCAAATTCAATTTGCGACAAAAAATAATTAATGATAAAATCCCCTAAACCCTATAGTTAACCATATAATTGAAAAACAGTGTGTTTTTCGGAAAAATTCCCAAAATCACGGCGATCGCCCTTTCCTTTTCTGAGACAACTGTTTAATTGTTAATGATCGCAGGTACCGTGAGGACTGGTGAATTTTATTAGAGAATCTCTTTTCTTGTTAATGAATTTTAAAAGAAAAAAGTTCTACTCATAAAATCCCGTTAAACCCTCGGTGGGTGAGACAATTAATAACTAATTAATTGTCAGGTAGGTGCGAAGAGTGTGGCGTGCAAATTTCCGGTAAATCCCCCGTAGCGAAACTGTTTTTGCAGTAATTTTTTAAACAATTGGGTTTTGAGGAATTTTGGGCCTAAATCATTTTTCCATCTGATGATATTTAGATTTGTAGATTAGATTAAATACGCGGGTGGCCGGAATAGCCTCCCCAATGCCACCAAACTCAGATTAGAGTTATTGTAGCTCCGCTTGTTTTATGCACGGATTATATGTCCAGCCCGGCCTTTGTTGCCGGTCTTAACAGATCCGTTCTGTTACGGGTAGAGAGTAACTCAAGAAAACCGTCGAAGCACTGAGATTTGAGGAATGATGGATTCAGAATAAAAAATGTGATACGAGACGCGCCGATTTTTTCAATGCGAAATTAATATTTTTTCTGTCAACACTATTTCTCCAGATATGAAATAAATATATTAAAATAACCCCCAGCAAACACTTGATTAATTTAGCACGGTGGAGAATTGCTTTTGCCAAAGACTTTTAGGATATTTAAAGATGAAACTCAGAGATCGTTGAGAAACACGGTACTTAGAAAACGACCAGTACGAGAAAAAAAGAATAATAATCATATAGATTGTGACGAGGCACTTTTTGAAAGCCCTCCTCTGCCCCCTAATAATTACTTATTTCTTTTTGTACAAAATGGAGAATTAGACGAGGCAACCGCGACTAGGTTATAAAACCTGTCACCGTTGACTCCCACTCCCAAGACATTCCTTCCTCTTGCACCGCGTTTCCCCCACCCTACCGAAAACCCGCCAGAAACAGCACCGCTGGAGAGAAGGAGGCACCCTCTCCCACCCGCCGTTCCCCTCGTCGTCCAGCGCGCCAGCGAGAACAACAGAAGCCCAGCACGACTACGTCACAGCCAATGTGACCCGGAAGAAAGAAAAGGACATCCCTCAATGAGACATAAATGCATAATTATGACGAGGACAGTCAATGACGAGTGTCCCCGATTGACCCCGATTATCACCGATAATCGGGGAGGAAGGAGAACGGGTGATACGACGCCATCACTCGTTATACAGCTGCCCCCGTGGAAAGAATAGGTTATCGCAAAGAGTTTTTGAAGAGAGTTGGAAGTGTCTGAGAGAGAATTACGAAGGTTTTTTGGGAGATTAATTTAGAGGAGAAGTTGTGGACCATTGTGGAGTGAGGTTTTTGAGGAGAATTGTGGAAGAAAAGTGGATACGTGGTCCGTGGGGTAGTACGAGAGACCCAGAAGTGACAAAGGGAGGAACGGCCATCGAGAGGAGTTATCTGTTGGATCATTTTCGTGGAGGATTAAGGAAGCTGCCATCCCCGTGAGTACCCTTCACTACCTTTCCCGCCCTAACAAACATTACCAAAACCCCTGCAAGGCCTTCCCCCCAACGGTGAGCGTCCAGTTAAGTCTTTTTGCTGTAAAATAAGCCCCCTAATTATCATTATCCTTTTTATTCGGACCCGCCACTTCAACCCCTTTTTTTTTTGTTTGAGAGTTACAGTCATCCCTTCTTGTCACTGTTAATCTTTCGTGTAGCCGCAAGTTGGGTGGCCTTACCCCCCACCGTCGAGATAATAATACAAAAAGGCCAAGTTATATTTTTTATAATCTTATTTTGTTATTTTGTTCTGTATTCGGATAACGAGGAAATACAAATCCAGTCATCTATTAACCCAGAATCATCATTGGAAACCTCCCTCTCCCTTATTGTTTCAGGTCCTCCCTTGATTTCCATTAAATTAAATTGCCCGAATATCGGAATCTCGAAACATCGTGCCTGCGCCGGAAATTATTATATTTAATACCCCGGCCAAGGTCACAAGATGTAGCTCAGTGTCACAGGTGCGTGATTGGGGCACCTATATCCGACGTCTGCATCACCCATCCGGGTCTATGCCGATGACTCTGCAATGTTCTTTAAATCTGCCATGTCCTGCGAGCAGCCTGATCGTAGTGGCCAGACTTTTTCTGTCCATGGGCAGTAGGTGTTTCGAC